TGCATAATTTGTGCTTTAGCAGTTGTGCGGTGCGGTTACACACGCCGCAATTTCACGACGGCCAGTCCAGCTGTCTGCTACCCTCATGCCTCCCCCCTTACTCTCCCACCGGTCGCTGGTCAACGCTGGTGGACGCTGGCAGACGCTGGTAGATGCTCGTTGACGCTGCCGCGAAGTATAAGCGCGGTCATAGGGTGTTCTTGAAATTTTTTGGCACTATTTACCCTTTACTGCCCCAGCCATCCGAAATCAGGCCAGTTCCTGACCGACTTTTTTCTCCGTGGGCAGAATTTGCTGAAAACTTGGCTCCAGGGGTAGTTCGACCCGCTGAACACGAATATCGCATCCGCTTGACCCGAAACCTCCTGGCGCCGGCGCCAAAATACTCGAAATCACCAAATTCGCTGAAAACTTGCTCCCAGGGGTAGTTTGACCCCCTGAACACGAATATCACATCCGCTCAACCCGAAACCTCCTGGCGCCCGCACCACGGGCACCGGCGCCAAAATACCCCAAATCATTGGCGCCTGTGGCGCGGGCGCCAGGAAGTTTCGGGCTGAGCGAATGTGATATTCGTATTCTGGAGGTCAAACTACCCCAGGAGACAACATTTGAGCAAAATCTGCAACGCGTGCCTCAAATAAATGCCATTTCAATTTTGACTTCTTTTCGTAGGTCTTCTCTGCGTCAGCGTTCATATTCATAATCGTTGAGAACTTAAGTGGTTCCGTACACTAACCGCGAAAAATCTTATTAGATAAACGATCTCAATCATGTAAAGTACTCCCATCAAAAATTAACGAAGTAAGTAATACAGCGTCGCTGACGGCTGCCTTTTCTTAACTCTTCTTGAATATTCTACGAGTTTTTTTTAAAGCCGTTACCACGACTACCTTTCATCGCTTTTGAAGCAAAGCAATTTGCTAACAACTCATCAGCATTCTGATTGTCTCGCAAATTGCAGCGGGCATTAGCAGGTAGCACAAAAAAAGCTGGAAAGCGTAATATAGTAATCCGCGGATTAAATTTTCGACTTTTGAATGAATTTGTTTGTGTTTCAGGAGAGACCTCTGCATGCGTTTAAGCGAAGTCGCCGACTTGCCCTCAGGGTGATATTCTGTGTTTGGACGGCTCCTCTTGTAGTATGGCCACCGGTCTATATAATCGTCTCGAAGCATAGCCGAATCACTAGGGGCAATGAAAATGAAATGTTCTGTACTACGGGTTACAACAATACGGTCTTCATTTTTGTTATCTCGGTATTCGTATACTATGTCCCTTCAATTGTGCTGGTACGTGCATTATTTAGACCTAGTAATATATTCATCCTATTTTTTGGGGCATAAGGCGCACTTCGCCAAGTCGCACGCGACAAAAAATTGGCAGACCCAGCAGTGGTTATGGGCAGGAGCAAGCAAAAACACACGCAAAACTGAAGTAAAGAAAAAAGTTCCTGGCACTCGGGGCAGGTGCGCCCTATAAGTGGGTGCGCCTTGAATAAAGAAGGGTAAAGTTTTTGCCGTTGACCCACCAATTTTGGGATGCGGCACGCATTCTACTTCCATTCAGAATCGTAGTGGCTTATTGAATGCGATGTGGCCTATACAATGACTTGCGGGGGCCAGCCGATGTACAAGTCAGTGTTTTATCCTCCCAGACGAATCTGGTACCAATTTACCGTCCCCGGAGGGTAGAAGGCTTGGTTGGCCTGGGCGGGTGTCGACCTGGGATTTGAACCCCGGACCGTGAGTGATAAGCGTGCCACTTGCCGCTAGACCACCTCCGCCTCGGATGAGCCTTATATTGCAGAAAAT